GTACAGTCTACAGTTGTGAGTTGTCATTCCCTGGCCCCTCCGTCGCGACTCGCATTAAAAACTTGTGCAAACATTGTCCCTCGTCCTTGTCCTCTGCTCCCCTCCAAGTCGGACGCGTCGCCAGCCTCCCGCTCCGTAATGAGGTAAGTTTTTTCCAGTGTTTTAGTATAGTGATGTGCTGTGTAATTCTCAAAAAGTAGGATTCTTTCCTGACTAAACTTTCTTTTTTTTTTTCAAAAGGTTGGTTACAGTATCAGATTTGAAGATTGCACTTCAGAACGTACCATTATCAAATATATGACTGATGGTACACTACACAGGGAATTCCTCTCTGAGCCTGACCTTCAAGGCTACAGGTAATAAAGTTTTATCATAACTGTATTATTTCTACTTTTTAAAATAGTTCTGTAGACATTTTTTTCATGTGATTTTCTCAACTTTTCAGTGTTATGATTATTGACGAAGCTCATGAGCGCACACTTCACACTGACATTTTATTTGGCCTAGTCAAAGATATTGCTCGGTTCAGGCCAGATCTAAAACTTCTTATATCAAGTGCTACTCTGGATGCTGAGAAGTTCTCTACATTTTTTGACAATGCTCCAATTTTTAGAATTCCTGGTAGAATTATCTCAATATTCTTTCACATAACTACCTATATTTTGGCAGAAGGATAGTAAATCCTATATTGTGTCCGTTTCTGTTTTACAGGTCGTCGCTTCCCTGTTGATATATATTATACAAAAGCACCTGAAGCAGATTACATTGATGCTGCAACTGTGTCAATTCTTCAAATACATGCAACACAGCCATTGGGTGACATTCTTGTTTTCCTTACTGGTCAGGAAGAAATTGAAACTTGTCAAGAAATACTTCAGGAGAGAGTGAAACGACTTGGATCTAAACTTAAAGAACTATTAATCCTTCCTGTGTATTCAAATCTTCCATCTGAAATGCAAGCAAAAATATTTGAGCCAACACCTCCTGGGGCTCGCAAAGTGGTTTTGGCAACAAATATTGCTGAAACATCTCTTACCATTGATAATATCATATATGTCATAGACCCTGGTTTTTGTAAGCAAAACAATTTCAACTCAAGGACAGGCATGGAATCATTGATAGTTGTTCCAATTTCAAAGGTAGAATAAATTTGAATGCAGAAATCAACATTATCTCTGCAATTAAGTTTAAGAGTTTCAGTACTTAATCTATGTCTTTTCTTTAGGCATCTGCTAACCAAAGGGCAGGTCGAGCTGGGAGGGTTGCAGCTGGGAAGTGCTTTAGGTTATACACTGCTTGGGCTTTCAAGCATGAGCTCGAGGATAATACTGTCCCAGAAATCCAACGGATCAACCTCGGCAATGCAGTGCTGATGCTGAAGGCACTTGGTATCAATGACTTGGTACATTTTGACTTTTTGGATCCACCACCACACGAGACACTGGTTTTAGCTCTGGAACAACTGTATGCCCTGGGGGCACTGAATCATCATGGTGAGCTTACCAAGCTAGGAAGGCGAATGGCTGAGTTCCCTGTAGATCCTATGATGGCAAAGATGATTCTAGCCTCTGAAAAGTAAGTGTTCAATTTCATGCACTGCATTACTCTACTATAACATAGTTTCTCTCTTTCATTACACTTTCAATTTTTATAGGTACAAATGCTCTGATGATATAGTCACAATTTGTGCCATGTTGTCTGTAAATGGAGCGATATTCTATCGTCCCAAGGATAAGATAATCCATGCTGATACTGCAAGAAAAAATTTCAATTGTCCTGGTGGAGATCATTTAGTGCTGCACAATGTGTATAAACAGTGGGCTGATACAGAGTTTAGTACACAGTGGTGCTATGAAAATTTTATCCAGTACAGATCAATGAAAAGAGCCAGAGATGTTAGAGAACAGTTGGTGGGTCTCATGGAAAGAGTCGAAATGGATATGGTTTCTACTGATGGTGATACTGTTCCCATAAGAAAGGTATTTTCAATAATTTAAAATCAAATTGAGTTAAAAATGATTTGGTACATGCAGCAAGACTTAAGTTTTTTTCTTTTATTTGTAGGCTATCACAGCTGGCTATTTTTATCACATTGCACGTCTGTCCAAGGGAGGACAGTATAAGACTGTAAAGCATAATCAAACTGTAATGGTCCATCCTAACAGTATGCTCTTTGAGGATCTGCCCAGATGGGTGCTTTATCATGAACTTGTTTTCACCACTAAGGAGTTCATGCGTCAGGTATGTTTGCATCATCTTGTCTTTATGGCATTCACATTCAGCATTTTGTTTCTTTATTCATTTTTTAATACTAACATTTTCTGAAACTGTTTTTCCCTAACTAGGTGATTGAAATTGAAAGCAAATGGCTTTTGGAGGTTGCTCCTCATTATTATAAGGCAAAAGAACTTGAAGATTCTACAAATAAGAAGATGCCAAAACTCCTTGGGAAGGCAAAAGCTGAACTTGGTGTAGTAAATTGAGCCTACTTGTGCCCAAATTCAACTGTGATAGTCTCTTATTTTTAAAAACAAAATCAAAGTGAGCATGTCGGCGTTTTCAAAAGAATCTTATTCAACTAGGAAAATTTGCTACGAGCTTTGCTTGAGCAAAAATAAAAAAAGAGAATTAACATCTTGAATCTCTTTTTTTTTGTATTTGAACCTATTAACCTACCAAGGCGATGGGTGAATGTAATGTCTGTACTGTGAGTACTGTAAGTGCCGTAGCCGTACAGTCTACAGTTGTGAGTTGTCATTCCCTGGCCCCTCC